GAAAAATAATACTTGTTATGTGCAAAGAATATTTTCCTGTGGATAAAGTATTCTGTAAATTCTAATCTGTCACTGAAGCATGGTACTATAAAGGTAGGGTCGGTGTTCTGGGCTTTTGTTTCTTAGTCTATTCTTTTACATGGAAAAAATACTTCAAGAGACTAGCATTCAATTCTGCAGGCCAGCAGACATTTCAGATGACACTTCTCATGACTCACACTAAGTACGTTGATGAACCCTGTTAAACTGGACAACAATTTTGGAGTCGCATTCCTGGTAAGATTAATGCAGCATTACAATTATCTTTATAGTATTTATGTTCTGTTAAATACACTGAACAAATTCAGTTCAAACTGTAGACATTCAATTGTAGACTTTTTACCTACACATTCATTTGGAACCAACAGCATTTTCATGAACTGACAAACTATATGGAAAGCAGCTACTCAATAGCACCCACTGCTAATTCTTGGACTCCTCTGACAGAATAATGGGATTTGACTATAATTCTTATAGCATACCCATGGACCTAAAGTAAGTTGTACATTTTTTTAGAAATAGGATGTGAGCCATGAACCCTTAGATCTACAGTTCAGACTCTAACCACTAGGCCATGCCTAGTCCCATTTGAACAGAAACTCAAATGTAGCCTGTATGCATTCTGATGTTAATCTCAAACCTACATGTGTTTTCCTTTTATCATGAACATAACTAAAACTACGTGTAACAGTAAGACTGAAACAGCAACAGTATAAATGTGCTGCAGTTCTTATTTCACAATGTACTAATTTCTATAAATGAGGCAAACATATATAATCATTTCTTTCTTATTTCAATATGGCTAAAATGACAAAGTTTTCCTAAAAATTTAATGATTTAAAAATTTTGAAATTATATCTTTAATAAATGTAATTTAAAGTTAAAATGAGGGAAATTAAATAAATACATTTAACTCACATTTTATTCAGAGTTTGGTTTCTTATTGTTCATAACACTTAAAACAGCTCTCAAGACTACCAATTACTCCAAGGACCAAATAAAAGACAGGCCATCTCTTACAACCACAAACTCCTTTAACAGTGGGATATACACAGTTTTCTACTTTTTATATTAATAAAGTGTTTTTAGGAATTTGTCAGATCTTCTGATATGTGAAGTTTCAAAAAACACATGGTCAAGAATGACAATAAATTGCTTTTGTTCTAGCTGCCTCTGTACTTGGTCATTCTCTGGAGATAAAAACCAGTCTCTCTATTGGAGGGATGGCTGTAAAGCTGCATGTTGTTGATGGATGTTGACAGTAGTTTCCTTCAATGGTAAGTCAGGTGATTCCTCAGGGTTATACTCAAATGAGAAAAACCAGCCAAGTAAAAGTGCTAGGCACTCTGGGTAAGCCTGATGTTATTGAGATATCTAAGTAATGTTAGGTTTTAGTCAGTCTGTTATAAGTTATTAACCGACACATGGAACGGATGGCAACTACCTGTTGTAAAAAACACAAGTACATAGGACAACAATTCAAAAGTCACTTAAGGCCCCAGCAGATGTTCTCTGATCGAGGTAAGGGCAAGTGTTGCATCTGCTCCTTTGACAATTGTATGTGCACCAACTGGAATATCAGATGATAGTTATATGTTATTTGGAAATTGACTGTGGATGAGTAAATCTTTAATGTTCGTGTCTTGTTTATAAGAAATTAGAGGTTTGCTAGGGAAAATGTGACCAATGGTATTGTCCTCGGTTATGATGTGAAACTTGTCCAACAATATAAGTGCCCCAAGACAAGCCCCATCCAACACTAATAAAAGAAGCACAGTCAAAAAAGAATTCGTTTTTAAATTGAGTTGTTTAGATCCTTTGTGTATTAATGAATGGTTCAGCTTTTTATAACATTTTCAAATAACCTTCATTTATTACCTAAAAATGATTAAGTTATTTATTTCTTTGCTTTGTAGACTTATTTTTATATTTATAATAATTTTTATTACTTTTTTTTAATCACCAGCTTTTTTCTTCAGTTTTATTATATTGATTAATTCTTGTGGTTCTACCTCATGTTACATTCTGTTCTTGTGTATTTTTAAAACATTCCTGTAGTTGTCATTTTGTTTCTGGCTTGAAAGAGCATATGCTCAAAACTTGCCACGAAAATAAAATACAAACAGTTTTTTTATAGTGAGTTATCTCTTAGAAAATGCTCATACTACAAGTTACTATATACTTTGTTCCCAAATCTAAACATCACTCTATAATTAAAACACAACAGCAAAGAATTATACTGAAATATATAATCTTCAATTTGTAAATAAATCTGCGACATTGAAAAATTGAGTCAAAAACTGTAGACAATAATTAAGATGAATATATCATAAACTAAATAACGAATTACTTATTGTCCTGCAGTAAAAAAAAAAAAAATAAATAAAAAAAAAGTGTTCACATTTGCTTTTGATGTTCTAAATCAAAGGTAGAATATTTAATAATAATTTAGTTTTACACTATAATTGGATAATATGAAAGTATAACAAATAACAGAGTTGATACCTCTTGGTTATTCATCATTTTTATCTTGTAATACTACAAATACAGATTATGGTACCTGTTTTTGTTCTTTCTTGAGCTTTAAATTCTCACCAAGTCAAACACCCATATGAATTTCAGAACTATCTATGAAACACGAAGTAATACATTCCTAGATGCAGTTTATAAAAAAAGCTTAATGTGACCAAACCCTGAATGTTAACATTTTCCTTTACTGAAAATGTACTTCCAATAATACTTACCTCCACTTGCACTATAGCTTTATCCCAACAAAAGTTTCTCTTCTCTGCCCATCTAAGTGTTAGGTATGAATCTAACCTCACTTGCTCCAGCCTTTATAGTCAACTATATTGCTGAAAGTAACATAAACCTTATGACTCTCTCCACCTATGTCAATGCACACCTTATCTCAGTTTCCTATATAAGCTCCCTGTTATTACTTCCTACTCACTTCAACACAATCCAATAAGCAGACTAAATCTGGCCATTTTGTGGGGAGGAAGGGCAGGAGAGTGTGAAAGGAGGTAAGTATTAGTAGAAATACATTTCTGGTATAGGAAAATGTTAACTTTCGAAACACACCTCTTCTCACACTATAACTAGAATCCAACACTGGCAAGGTGGAAGGGCCAGTGAAGCAAGATCAACACAGAAAGCATCTGTATAGAAAAGAGGTATGCGAAAATGAAATATAGGGCTGGGGCACAAGGACTGCTTTTTATTTTGTCTTGTTTAGTAAAACGGTATTATTGGAGCCCAACCTGCAAGTTATAGAATGTTGCATGTTGAGCCACTGGAATTACGAAGACAAGGCAAGCAACTCAAAAGTGGACAAACACTTACCCCAACTTGAAGAAGTGCAAAATGCAATAAACTGAACTGGGATTTATGGGACCTGTCCTACCTCATCCAACCTGAAGAAACAGATTACCTGGCCAGGGATTACAAACTGAAATCCTAACTCTGCAGCCTCAGAAGAAAGGCAACACTTCCTGTCTCTGGAAATACAAGAAGGATGTGGAACAAAATAAGTCCAATAAATGGCACAGGAACAGACACTCTGCATGAAAGAAAAGGCCATGCTAAACTCAACTAGATAGGAAAGAGTCATTTCTGAACTGGAATTATGAGAAGCCTCCCATATAAGCTGATCCTGCTCCTACCATACATCTGGGAAGACCATACAGGGTTATTGGTAGGAGGGGAACCCAGCTTTGCCCTCTTCTCCTTGAGTGGAATAATGAGTTCAAGTATCACTGAAAAGGAGTAAACCAGCCACTGGAAACTGGGAGTGGTAAGGACTACCATACTTCACTAGGAAAAATGAGGGGGTGGATACCCGTATTGAGGGTTTCCAAGGAATGATGCTCTGGAGTGAAATAGGTGAACCATATTCCTTATTTTGAAAAGCAAACTGACCCCAATTTATTCAATCTAGGAATCAGCAGGGATGTGATATAATTGTTTACCACCCGGAAAGTGCATAAGGTGGTCTTATGTAACACCCCATCTCAACAGAACTCATTGATACCAGAAATTTTTTTTTATTGGCCTACTAGTAGCTAGTCTAAACTTCGAAGGAAGCATACCTGACCAGGCAACAACCGCCACTGAATGGGATCCAAATGAAAACGATTAAAGGGTCCCTGAAAAAGAAGAGAAATGAACACTAAATATAACCAAAATTACTTTGAAAAACTATTACTTCAAAATTATTTTCATTATTTTGCAAAATAAAGAAAATAAAAACTCCAGACCTAAGAAGACAGGTCTAAAAAACAGGAATCGTCTAAAGCGTAGGTATAACTAAAGCCATTCAAACTGAAGAGAAACTCACAGCAAACACATGAAACCACTGTCATAGTGTTCTGCTGTTGAGAAAAGTGAAAAGGAAGTAATAATGGGGAGCTTATATATGGATCTGAGATAGGGGGAGCATTGACATAGGTGGAGAGAGTCATAAGGTTTATGTTACTTTCAGCAATATAAGCAATATAATAAAGGCTGGAGCAAGCGAGGTAAGATTCATACTCAACACTTAGATGGGCAGAGAAGAGAAACTTTTGTTGGGATAAAGCTATAGTGCGAGAGGAGGTAAACACGATTCGGAACTTTCATTTTATCAAGTGACAGCTATTTTGTGTGCTAGTTTTCTTCGTTAGTTTGTTCTAAACTTTTTCTAAACAAAGCTTTGGAGAGAGAAATGAAACTGTTTAACTCATTTCATGATGTTAAATGAATTAAAAATCAAACTAAATTCTAATGTTAAGTAGTTCTGAATAAGCAGTGTACCTGGTTAAAACAAAAGACAAATATGGTCTTAAATGTAATTAACAGTTGCACCAACTGGTACATCTAGTAACATTGTAAGTAATCATTTTTATAAGAGATATTGTCTATACAAAATATTATTAAAAAATTTAAAATCTTACTATAAGGATTCATAGATATTCCTTTACCTTTCTCTTTTTTTATCCATCTTTTTAGCCACCATGTCACATACACCTGGTCCAAGAACATTATCCATTTGTATCAGGAAATCATCTACAGACTAAAAATAACTATATATATGTTTCCAGAAAATCCAAAGAAATTACAAGAGTAACTCAAAGAGATTTCAGGTTTATATTACCTCTTATACCAAACCAATTTTCAAAAATATAGATATGTATCAAATACATATAAAAATGTTTGTTTGTTGACTATATATTTCACAATTACATTGAAAATGTACTTTCATACATTTATATCTACAAGTTAGCAAAAAAAAGTACCTTTCATTTTCTTGTTAACTAGTATGACTGGATAAGTACTAAGTAGAATAATATAACAATTCCAAGGTGTCAACAAATTAGAAAGCATTATGGCAAATTTACAGCAAAAAAAGAAGAAGAAAGTGTTCATCATTTTAAAACCATTGAAATGAGTTTTGAATTTAAATATTCTTGTCTTGATAATGCAGTACGTCGCAACTTCCACTTTCATGAACTAATGTAATGAGTTAAAGATTTTTCATGTATTCAATGTTGAGTTAGATATTGTACAGGATACAAATTCAATGATCACCACAGCTGGATGATTTGTGGAATTTTCTAACTGATTATATTTAATTAATCAATTACTCTCATGAAAGTAATCTTCTTATTTTTAATTTTTTTAAAAGACTTTTTTGACTCATCCCTCATTTTAATATGATGGGTAGAACAATCTAAGACTAAGTTACTTTTTCAAACCAGGTGGGCTTACCTCTGAAATACTGAAAGCCTTTTCTTTGAGGATATGTCAAAAATATTATTGAGATATGTAGTTCATATTTGAAAACAATTCAGACAAGTGGAATTATCCACCCCTGAAACATTTTCAGCAGAAGTGAGATTACTTAAGTTTGACCCATTTCAGCCCAGTTTACAGACTTGATAAACCTTAGTTTCACTAGTAAAAAACCTTATTTATTCCAGAGGTTTCATTAATAATTACCTATTGTTCATATTGTTATTATACACAATTCATAGACAGGATTTCTTATATTAAGTGTGATTTGAAGTAACATATTATAACAATAGTTATATCAAGTTTCAGTCCCTTAGTCTTTTGTGAAAAATGTAATCACATATTTATAAAAACCTTCAACCTGAGACATTTAGTGTAGCTGGTTTCAACATGCAGGTTTCATAAACTTCACCAAGAATAAGGTCTAACATTTTCAAGGACTTTCTGTGATGGAACTATATTTTAAAGATTCAAAATCATCTGTCTTACTAGGTAAGTTGCAAGAAGTATAAGTAATCACTAAAACTTATTAAATTTCCTTCATTATTATTTAATGAAAGTATTACAATAAGAAATAGTTCTTATTAATAATACTAGTACTAAAGCCTTCTATGAAAACACTGAGCAAATGACACTCAAATATACATACAAAATTCAATGTAAAAGCATGAAAGTATACAATATATAACTATGGTTACCAGTATATAATTAAAACTTGAGTTTAAATTGCACAAGTCTGTGCTAGATGTGTTAAAACACATGAAATTACTTTGCTGTACTTGTTATAAAGTAAAAATTACAAAAGATTTCTATATTGTTGTCTACTGAAAGTCACTTTTAGGTAAATTGACAGAAATGATCTAACTTTAGAATTTATTATTTTGGGTAAAAAAATCCAACTTTGGTTTCAGCATTTTGGTATATTTTATATAAAAAAAATTTAAATCATAACACTTTTATTTTTATCATGGTTTCAGCAGGGAGAAAATAATAATGTTTCCAGTTTAATAGTGATCCTGTATTTGAAAAGTTTCAGAAACCACTGAACTGGAAAGAGTTAACAAAATGTGATTTCTATGCTTTGTTGTTGTTTTAATAATTAAGTTAAAGTTGTTAAGATGACATGTTGACTAATGAAAAACAATTTAATTAACCAACGTATAGAGCTTCAATCTTTTGCTGTCTTAATAGTTAAGTTAGATAGTTTGTTCAGGCGACAAGGTTATCAAGTTTGACTAATAAATATCTCATTAACCTTTGTAAAGTTTCAAGATTTTGCTGTCTTAATAGTTAAGTTAGATAGTTTGTTCAGGCAACAAGGTTATCAAGTTTGACTAATAAATATCTCATTAACCTTTGTAAAGTTTCAAGATTTTGCTGTCTTAATAGTTAAGTTAGATAGTTTGTTCAGGTGACAAGGTTATTAAGTTTGACTAATAAACATCTCATTAACCTTTGTAAAGTTTTAAGATTTTGTTGTCTTAATATTTTAGTAAGGAAGTACACATTATGCTAATATAGCAATAAAGTTTGACAAACAACAATTTATAAGCATAAAGAAGTGATTTATTTTTGGGGAACATATCTGAAAAGGACAGACCAATGCTCTGTCGAAACATGTAGTATGTTCCCCCAAAATAAATCACTTCATTATGCTTATAAATCATTACTTGCCAATATATTGTTGTCTCAATAGTTAAATTAAATGATAAAGCTACACAATCTGCTCCTACTTACCAAGCTCATCAGGAATTATGGTGATTTATAAGTTTTACTTGCCTTGTTAGTGAAATTAAATAGATTCTTTGGACATCAAGATTACAGATTAAGCTCTCACACTGAAACTTTATACATTATTGTAATGATTTTTGAGTTGAGTATTTCTTATTATTATGGTTGTGTTACAAGGTAAAGTTACAAATTAATCTCTCTCATACAAAATTTATAAACCACCACTGTGAATTACAAGTTTTTGCTGCCTTGTTATTCGAGTTAGGTAACTTCTCCAGAAGGCAATATTATATATTTAACTTGCATATAAAACCCCCAACCTACAATAGTGAGTTCCATATGATTTTTGTCTGCTTACTTTCATAGTTCAGTTAGAAAGAAAGGTTACAGGTTCAGATCACACACAGCAACATCAAAAACCATTGTAATGAGTTCCAAGTACACAACTTTTCTTGGCTAGATAATTAAGACTTTGTTCAAATGACAAGATTGTCAATTAAAATCATATATACCTACTTGATAAATTACTGCACTGATTTGTGAGCTCATGGTTTTTCACATTTTGAGAGGTGAGTTAGATAGCCCAGAAGACAAGATTGAAGATTTAACTTCCATGTAATAAACCACGGCAGTGCGAAATCTTTTTAGTGGTATTCTAGCATTCATTGTGCAACTAAATGAATTACTTGTTATAAACCACATTTAGTTTAAACCCAACTTAAATTTAGATACAAAAAATAACTTCTGCATTTATATCTAAAAACTACTGAAGTTTTATAAGTCTATTGGCTGAAGAACTTATTTAGTTAATCTTTCAAAACTTTAAAAATTACACAGGTCAAAATTTGATGCATGGTGTTAAAAACAAATAATACAATTTCTTTGCAAATTAATGTACAATCCTTTACCAAATTATTAACCTACATATTTAAATAAACACAATTCTGTTAAATTCAATGGGTCTTATTCACTGTAGTTTCAGAATAACTTATTATAGTAAAAAATATCACCTTTCCTCCCACTGAGTTATGAAGCTTTTGAAGGGGATCTTTCAAGTTCTCAGGTAACTTGGAGATGAGCTTCAGTCTGTTCTATAAAACAGTAAACACTAAAATTTATATAATTTTATTCAAAGAGCAATCACATCATCAACTTGAATTTGTTTCTTGAAACATAAACAATAAATTATGTCCATATTGAAATATATTTGTTTCTCATAAAATATTCAGTAATATTATTATTTTTTTAAACAATCAAAGAAATAATTACAAAATTATAAACAACATTCAAAATATTTTTTGTAACTGTAGACTTTGAAGCCACATCATCACTACTCTTATAAACTTGTGGCAAATGCAGAGACAAGAATATTTTATTAAAAAAAGGTTTTATTATGTTAAATTAACAAAAACATTATCTGCTCAAATAAAAAATAATCACAGTATGGAATGAATAAACCATCCTTCAACAAATAATGAAATCAGTGACTGTACTTAAGTGAATTTACCTAATCTTAGGGAAAAATCAGTTAACAATTAAAGAAAGCTACTAGAAATAAAGGAACACTGTCTATTCCAGTTTAGGCACTTACAGTCAAGGCTCATACAACAATAAATTCCATGACTTTCCTAAGAAATTTTACTTTTAGATAACACAACATATTGATTAGTCAGTATATGTTTCTATATACTATTTGGCACCACTGTGATTTTTTCCGTCACATGTACATTTCTAGAGTTAAATAGAACTTTAATATCACAACTGCTCATACATCTATATAAATACTAGTTGTAAAAGTAGAAGAGAAAAAATCTTTTCATGGTCATTCTATTATATGCTGCCACAGACATCCATGATTTCTAGTTCATTTCAACAAGTTGTGAAAAGAAGTTAGGGCTAATGAAGGAGCAGAACTGAAAACAAATCCAGAAGAAAGAGTAAATCTGAAACTAAGACCATCACTTCAGTGTCCATCATTACAAAGAAACAGAGACTGGTGACCTGGTTTAATTGTAGAAGCTCTTTAAGTACCAACAGTATCTGCTAGAACAACTCATTCGTCTGATCTCACATATTTTTACAACTGATGAAGACAAAAAAAATTCTTCAATATAGCTATGAGTCAGTGTGAATGTCAGTTGAAGAAAGATTATGATCATCTAAACAATTCAATAATCAAGACAAATTGAAGGCTAATTGTAAAAGGAAAGTGTCAGTTAGTAACCTAATGTACTTGAATGTAAATCAGGCTAATATCTTTTAGCTACTAAAGAACAGCTCAGAAAAACATAGGTTTCTGAACCTAGAAGATATCAGTTAAATGCAGTACACAGTGGAAAGAATGCAGGAATAAGTAGATTAATAAAATTAGTAAGAGTGGAAAATGGGACTGACAATGTTTTAAATGTAGATTTGATGGGCATATTGTCATAAATTACTCATGAGTAGATCAGACTAATGAGATATAATGTTGTTATTGTAATCAACATGATGAAAAGGCTGACTGTAAATTCACATAAAACAAGAGTTTAATAGGGATATAAAAGTTAATATATTCCAACATTGAAAATATATTTCCCATAGATAATTACCTGCAAATTTTCATTCGCTACAAGCCTTGAAATTCCCACCTAATTCTACGTTTATATGACATGGTTCAACTGTGTTTATGCATGCAAATTAGCATGCGACAGTTCTCCACCAATGGGAGTACAACAAACCCTCCTATCACAGCTGATTCCCTCTATGCAGTGGAACCAAATCTTCACTTTGAGATTAGGCATGAAAAATGACACCAGATGTGGGAAGGACAGGTGGGAAGTGTGAAAAGAGGTATCTCTCAGAAATATGTTTTCATTGTAGGAAAATATTAACTTCTGATATAATTACTTACCTCCACTAAATGTTACAGCTAGAATCCCACATTGAGCAGTTGGAGAAATTGATGTGCACCCTTCAAAAGCACCTGAAGAACACCATAGAGTGTGCTCTCTTTATGGAGAGGAAATTCATTTGTGGGAACTTTACCACATCTGAACCAGGTATACTCTCCACCCATGTGGAGTCAACAGGTGTGGTGTCACAATCAAAGGGTGGAACACGGTAACAATTCCAAATCCGTAAGGAAGAGGAATGTGTGTGTAGAGTGGCTTGGGAGTATCAGACCATAGGTGGGAGATCAACTCAAGTCTAGACCAGTGGTACTGGGAGGAACTCAACCGATCCATGGTAGGAGGAGGGTCCTCAACCAGTCATCCCAAGTCTAGAAACCAGAAGGGAAGAGGAGCTTCCATTATGAGAACATAAACCATTATGTGAGCAAATCCAGAACAACGAGCAGCAAAAAACCCCAGGAATGTACCTCCAGACACCATCAGGAAGTTGGAAATGCAATGTGGAGGGTGAATTCCAGTTCAAACCCAATCACAGCATTGGGGATGCAACATTCAGTCTGTGGAAGGAAAAAGTTCCCAGTCCACTCATGTGAAGACTTATGTTGGCTGGTACAACTCCAACCAAAACCAGTCACCCAGGAACTGCCATCTAGGTGGAGGTAGAAGGGTTCAGTGGTGAACTGCAAGATAGATGGAAAAAAATCCAGTCCACACTGGTGACATCTGGAATAAAACATCAGATTCATGGAAGGAGGATAGTCACTCCTACTACACAGGCAGAAAACCACCACCCAACTCTTGGCTGAGTGGAATTGTGCACCCTCAGAAGGATTTCTTCATGATCCACCACCTCAGTGGCTCAGAGCTGGTAAGTGATAAGGACTCCTATACTCCATTGGAAGAGGGGAGAGAAGGAAATGCATTGGAAAATCCAGAGGAATGCATCACTGGAGAAGGTGCAATGGTTGACAATGAAACCTTATTTTGAAAAGCAGACCGTTTCTGATTCAGGCAATCTAAGGAATATTAAGGATGGCCAGCAATCTCTTTCTGCTTTACGCGTGTTAGTCTATGTGTACGACTGACTGGTACAAACATATTTATGATGCAATATACTGAGAGGAAGAACCTGCAAGAAGTCTTGTGGAACACCCCATCTCAACAGTTAACGTGACAGGTCTTATAGATCTTCAAGTGCAGATTTTGGATATTAGTATACCTGGACAGTGGGATCCATAACATGTAAAGTAGGCCCCTGAAAAAAAAAATTAAATGGGAGGGGGGGGGGAGAAAATATCCAGTTGAGCAGGAAACTGCCAGATGGTGCAAGTAGTAAAACACAAAGGTGTGAGGAGTGGTCCACATGCTTGCCTGGATAATCTCCTCCAAAGAATGACAGAAATGAACAGCCAAGGACATTGGGAGCAGTGTTCCCTCTAAACTGTGCAGCTGCACAACAACCAATGAAGTGCTGTACATTTCATTATTTCAGCTGCGCACATCCTCAGTAATGGTGTGAAGTCTCAACAAGTTGATGGCCTTAATGACCCTGGCAGTTGATAGGCCTAAAGCCCAAATAACCTACTGGTAGCATTGCAAAATGGCCTAATGATCCAGTAGGGTCAATAGTCTAAAACACCCCCACCCCTAAAAAAAACTGGTAGCACACATCTGCACAATGCCTTGATACTGGTGCACATGAAAAAAATTCATTCTGCAAATGGATTTAAAAAATTAGAGGGAACATTGTTTGGGAGGTTATGGATCTGATGGGAAGAAACAGAACAAATGGCAAGATTCAGGAGAAAGGGGAGAGAGAGCCACCAAATGGTGCTCTATGTCAGAAACTGTAATACTGACATACAACTATTATCCATGGAAAGTCTCAAATGGATGTTGAGAAAGAGCACATAATACCATCTTAATATACCAGTTGGGTAACTGAAAATGTCTTTTGGGATGAAGAACCCAAAATGACTTGAGGAGGAGAGAGAGCACTAGGGACTCAAATAATTTTCATCTTGAGTAGCTGATAAGGCCATCTTATATAAGGTGATTGTAAAAGATGCAAAACTCTTGTCAAAGGATCTGGTCAAAAATCAAGTTATGGTTAGCACTTCTGGTTGAAGTGGGTTTAACCTCTCCTCAATACACCACTGCTTATATGTGTGCTATTTCCATTGATAAATGTCAATTGTGGCCTATGCAAAGACTGAGACAGATACATGGCAACCTTAAAAGTTAAACCCCAACACCATGCAAAGGGCAGCATAACCTCCATGCATGAAGCTTGAGCTTCAGGATGGCTGGGTGTACAATGTCAGATCGTGTCTGCATCAATAAAGATGGCCAAAGAGGAAGTGGAAGAGAGAGGTAGGCACTCCTGATGGTAATGAAATGAGGGTTAAGCCACCAATACGGTGCTACCAACAGGATCAGACAATGGGTTGGAGCAAATCATAACTAGTACCTTGGAAAACATATGAACTGGTGGGAAGGCCTAGATGTGTAATCCTGTACTGACTGAATGTATCTGTTGCCAATGCTCAAGGGTGAGGTACTGAAAACCGAAATGCCAGTAGTTAGGTGTTCCAATGAGTGGCTAACATATCAATCAGTGTTCCGAACTGAGAACAAACAAAAACCCTCATGATGCAGTATCCAATCTATTGGAAGAATCTGTTTGGGTCGAGACAATTGATCTGTCACTGAATTCTTCAGCTCTGGAACCCGGAAAGCTAGTTGGATGATATTATAGGAGTAGTCCCAAGAAAGAACATACAAGGTTTGAAAACAGAGACCTGGACCAAGTACCCACTTTATGGGAAATGTAGAACATCACAGTAGAATTGTTGAAGTGAAGCCTGATGATTTTCCCCTTTGAATAGTAAGAAGTTCTAAAACATTGTGTAGGGAAGCCTCATTGTCCATTCATAGGCCATTGAATTCCTGAACATTGAGATACTCACCCCATCCTTGAAGCAAGGCATCCGTAAAGATATGGATCTCTGGATGGGATGTTGGCTGAGGAATACCTATCGTAGTATTGTTCTGATCTAACCACCACTCAAGAATCTAGTGAATTGCTGATCCATTGGTTGCAAAAAGACCACTGAAGATATCTCTTGTGAGCTCATCCCAAATGAATGAGGGGTTCAAGCAATGCCCACATTCCCAAAAGAGAAAGAGCCATCCAG